ACGCAAAAAGCACGAATCTTCCGAACATAATGACTCTTCCAACTCTTCTTCATCTTCTTCGAGTAGTGCTGGGGAGGAAGAAGAAGAAGAGTCGAGCATCCATCTGAAAGCGATGGCAGTCGGTGTACCAAAAGAATTGATGGCGATGTCTATGGAACAATTGCAGAAATTAATCGAAGAAAGACGACAAAAGAAGGTGAGTCTCGGAGGTTGGTCCTGTTTGGTAACGGTTAAATCAATGTGAGACTGTACATCCAGCGTGAAACGACCATCTTGTTCAATTCCTGTTTGTGTGATCTTCTGAAGGGTTTGTTATTTATCTGTACCAAACAATGTTTAAAATTCACCGGTGTGTGTTGCATTTGATAAGTTAGTTCCCAAATACATATCTAGTGAATTTGTGAGGATCGATAGACTAGTCCGATAAGACAGTGTAATAAATGCTAAGCCGACGAGTTTAGCTCATCAAACCCTATTCAAGATTCATACTGAGCCACTAACACATTCTCCTTCCCATACTGAGCAATTCCACCAAAAGGTATTCATTTTTTCCTGGCGCGAAAGTATTCTCTGACACTTAACCCATTCTCTTTTTTCAATGAAGTTTATCGCAAATAGGGTGAAATGAATGGGAACTGGAACATGTTTAAATCCTACTGCCAACGCCTGACATTTCCCGTTCTCTCTATGGTATATGGCAGTTCTTTGGTTGGTCGCTTCCCCGTTCCATAAATGTTGACGATTGTAAATTCAATAGAAGAAAATAAAATAAAGGCTGTATATGTCATAATCCATATAGGCTAGTGGTGGTGGTGCAGTGGTCGCTTTGGACCCAGTGACCCAAGGTTTCATGATTTTTTGTGGGCGTTATATTGCCAGGTTGCCCAGACCAAGGAAAGTGAATTTCCTTGGTTGAAGCAACAACCGGAGCCTTTGACTAGCCAAACCTCATCCGTAAGGTAGCGGGGTGGTTTGTGAAAACAGCAGTTCATTTGGGGCCGGTGTCCAGTTAATCGGATCACACGCCGTTTGGACGAGATCGAACTTCCAAGGTGCCCAATCGAGCCAGTGACCGTTGTTACAACCAAGAAAGTGTGGGTGAGAGTGGTTCATACGCCTCTTGTTGATTGATTTGGAATCAGTGTTTTTGGCCAACTCCCCTAGGTGAACTACCAGTGGTCCACCGACCCAATTATAGCCCAGGATGTCGTTATTCGTACTCTCACTTTGGTACGAAAGCACCCCCGCCACAAGAAGGCAGTGAGCAGGGATTCCTCGGCAGAAGCTATTTGAAACGTTTGGTTGTATAGGGGGAACATTTTGCGAGGTGCAAGGGAAGGGTGACCAGCCGCAACCCAAGACCAACCCCAAGCATACTGAGGATTTCGGAGACATCGACTAATTTACACTATTAATGACACCAAAGCCGTGCAATACTTCTAAACTTTTGAGACACATTTCCTTTTCCCTGTATACGAACAATACTATTTGAAAATCCGGTCAAATCATTTATGCTTCCATTGAAGCCAACGTTTATCTTGAGTTCTAATCAGAACTGATTTTTGACTACTCTCAGGCCCTTCTCAAAGTCCTTGAAACGCCTGAAGAGAAACGCGCTCGACGATTGGCCAAAAAAGAAGCCAAAGAACGGTGGTGTCGCGAACGAATGGGCTGGGATCAAGAATATTTAGGCTACACGAATGAGGACAACCCGTTCGGTGATCATCGACTTTCAGAATCCTTTGTTTGGAAGCAGAAATTGGAATCTGAAGGTCTCGCGCATTTGTCAAAAGAGGAGGTATGTGTTCGAATCGAACTGGTACACTTTCGTACAACTGTTTAAATATGAATACAGTCCGAGACAGTGAGTGCTAATGCTTGTTGCTTTAAGCAGCAGATTGACCGTTTAGTCTACTCCCTGTCCGATATATATTCGTTTTTCGTTATTTTGGCTACGATGACCAGGTAGTGTAAGTTGCATTCACTGAATGGGCTTCAAGGTCCGACATTCAACTTTCACGATAGACAGCTTCGCAATTGCCAATTGAATTACGATAATAGTTTTATTCGTGCATTCCGCCTTAGGGCTTAAGCTTTTATATGCCATAGCTAAGCAGTTTTGCCTCGTGACTATGGGATTCAGGATTCTGTTATTTGGCTCAAGATAAGACACGAAAGAAACACTTTCCGAATATGAGGTTATATTTTTGATTAGTTCAGATTAATCTTGTGCAAACTATAGAACAACAGACCAAGATATTTCATTGCTGTCGGTCATCATGCCTCGTCCTTTCTTACCTCTTGTTTCCGCCCTACCACAAAAGTTGTTGGGGTTCGAACCTGAGAACGGTCTCAAAATAGCGATTCTACCTCCGTTATTTCTAAACCCCTTTAACAGAAAATCCCTTCTCCATTGTGATTTCGAATGCGTTTTATTCTGTCTACAGATTCAGGCATTGCAGAAGAAAAAGATGGAAGAAAATCGATTAGAGCTAAAATCCGTGCGAAAGCGTCGAGCTGAACGAGAGCGGGAACGAGAAGAGCGAGAAAAAGAGATGGAAATGATGCAACGAGACAAAGAGGCCGAATACTACCGATCTTGGGAGCAACAGGAGGACACCTTTCATCTTGAGCAGGTCAGCTGATCGTTTTGTAGCAGTGTTTTTTTTCGGTCCTACTTTACGTGCAGTTTGCACTCATAACATTAATCCATATTTGTGTTGGATCTTCTTGAAACGAACTATTCTGTCCATCCTATTCCGTACAATTTGGTGGTCGTCACGACCGATTTTAGACTGGCTAAAATAAGTACTGGCTTCATGTCAGTGCCTTGAATGACCGTTCACTCCAACACGGATTTTCTTTTAGTCCTACGCAAGGATAAGTCTGCTTTATCGATCAATTGATAACGATCTTCAGAATGTCTTACAAAGTAGCATCCCGATAGCAAGTTTTTTTTCTGAGAGCGCCCATCTAGTCCGCGCTTAGCCTAAAACAACTGGATGTTGTTAGCGACCTTATTTGGTACTGTGCATATATTTGTAGCTTTTTACGTTGCAGAGAGCGATCGCTTGCCACTAGAAAACTCATCGAACCCGCAAATCGTCCGCGAACGCTTTTTCAGTGAAACAATTCCTGTCCGTTCGCAATGTCAAATGGCGTTTTATGGATAACCTAGAGACGCTCTCTATAGTGTACAGCTTCTTCGATCGTAGACTTGAAGTACCATGCAACGAACGTAAGCGTGGATGATTGATTTTCCTTAAATGTATCAGTGCAAAAGTGTGATAAAGTATAAGATCTAAGAATTGAGCACAGAAGACATCGATGTTATGTTCAAAAAATGATNNNNTTGTATAATCATTCACCTCACTTATGTATTATCTTTCGTTGCTCTCTTTTGTGGTCACCAAGAAACCTACGGTCGGAACGGTATTGCTGAGGTATGGGAAATTAATAAGGGGTGGGGGGAGCGAGCGGAGGAAAATGTATACAGTAATAAAGTAAATTTACAACGAATGATCCCTACCCCTGGAGATCCTTATAATGGTTTCTTTTGTATTGTATTGTATTGTTGTATTTTTTAAGTTATCGGTAACATTTGTTCCCGTTGCACTGCGATTGACCAAAAATGTAGTACTTTTGTGATTTCAGGCCAAACTTCGTTCCCGGATCCGCATTGCAGACGGTCGGGCTAAACCGATTGATTTATTGTCCAAGTATATCACCGATCAGGACGAGGAAGCAATGGAATTGGCCTCAGCGGATCTATCAGGTGCGATAGAAATCTTGGAACCTACACAATTCCTGGTGGGATTGGGAATGGATGACTTGGAGGATTTATTGGCGGACATAAAGGTACAATCATTGCTCAGCCATCATGTACAACCAAACATTCACTGCCGTATTGTCATTTTGTAAGCGCTTGAGTTGGTTGAAAGTGAAAAGCATGCAAACTGTACAACCGGTGTGTGCTCTTTGTGCTCCCCACTCCTGTCATGGTAAAATCATTATTTGCTTATCCTGTATTATGGTTAGTTAAAATTGTCCCCTCAGCGAATTATGAATTTCCCACCACCGTGCAATCTTGATCGTGGTGGTTTTTTCCAATGCTAAGTAAATCCGTATCAACGCATCGTTCAATGGCCAACGAGAAGCCATGTACAGGATAAGGATTTTACACGCACGAAATGAGTTATTAGCCATGAACGAAGATTTTGATTTATTGTTGTGTTTAGCGTCTTTTATCTCACAAGACATGTTCATGAGGTGGATACAGAAAAAAACCCAAGTACAACCAAGAGTATGAGCGAGCAGCAGCAGCCTTAATTCGTTCACACGCACACGCTTCATAGCCAGATCTGGTTGGGATCGATGCCTGGCGATTATCTTCCTAGGTCTATAAAGATTCATCCTTGGAGCCGGCTTGTGTTCTCTATCTTTCACATGTTATATATAGTATAGTTGCATTCACATTCATTCGCAAGTGCCTGATTGGATTGGTTCCTTCAGGTTTGCCATACATTATAGAGAAGTATGACTTAATATACTAACGGTTTGAATTTAAGAATACGACCAGAGTGATGTGTAATAGTTATTGCGTCGTTGCTAAGTTTCATGCTCGTTAGACTCAATTCTTTTGTAAGAGTCGACTAATGGCTGCTTTTGATATGATCGTGATGTGTAAAAGCTGTTTTGTTTCCGAATGGATTGGTCTCGTTCCATCTATCCTACTCCAGCACTCAGCCTCACTCTAACTGGGGAATTAATAGAGCAGGTGAAGAAGTTTTGTTATCTGGGCGGCTACATCTCACCCGGTGGACGCATCACGGATGAAGTGTCAGCTCGCATACAGAAGGCTCGGTTGGCATTTGCCAACTTGAGACACATGGCGCCGTCGCGACATCTGGCTGTCTGTTAAGGGTCGAATGTATGCTGTAGTTCTGCTATATGGAGCAGAAACTTGGCCATTAAGAAAACAGGACAACGATAGACTGTCGGTGTTTGAAAATCGCTGTCTACGCAGCATTGTACGGATATTGTGGAGCAGCCGGGCGAGCAATGCTGAGGTCAGGCGCAAAGTTTTAGGCAACCGCGGTCGCCCACTGGAGCAAGTGGTCGACCTGCATAGATTACGTTGGTTGGGGCATGTGTTATGCATGTCACCAGATAGGTTGCCAAGGCGAGCGATGTTTGCCCAGGGCGGGTAGTGGATAAAATAAATCCCAGGGTGGTCAAGCTAAGACTTGGCTTGAGGGTATGAAAACTCTAACCAGGAGTCTGGGTCACATAGGTCCCGTTAGGCTTTCTGAATGGGGACCTCGGGATGAACGTAACCGATGGTTAGAGACACTGAGTGATATGGCTGGGTGTCGTAAACAGTGGCGTTCTTGCACCTCAATTTCTCTGTATCATTAGCCTACTGAACTTTTGAACTTTCTCTTCGATCCTACNTCCTACTTTCAACCATTCCTGTCTTTCTCCTAATGTTCATCTAAATGGGCAGCCGAAAAATAGCAACCAAAAGCGGCGCACGATAGTGCATGGTTAATGGTTGTACAAATTGAAACTGAATCCTTCTCCACCCTTCGTTAGTCGCGTTCATGCCATTGAGCCTTTTTTCTTCTCAGGTGGTATACATGGAGCTAGAGAAGGGTCGCAACGCAGAATACTGGCGTGATATTACCACTGTGGTTGAAGATGAATTGCACAAATTACGTCGTTTGGCCGGTGGTGCTTGCGGTGCGGACAGTCGTGGACGAAGCTCGGCCACAATCAGTCAGTCGGTCATGCAAAGCGTGGCTGAGACACTGAAGGGCAAAACGTACACTCAGTTGGCCGCGCTTGAACGTCAAGTGAGTCTCGTTATATTCACCCTTGTCTCTTACGTGCCTACGCCACATGAAGACGACGGCTCTGGGGTCTCAGTCGCTATCACTAACACTTTAGTGGTATCTCACCATGAATCCGCTTCCCCGAGTGGCGTACACATTCTAATCACATCTTCTCTCCTCAAAGGATTATTGTAGGTGTGTATTCTGTGGAACGATTTCTACGTAAAGCTCAGTCACGAGCACTAATTACAATAATCCATGATTGGCCAATGATGATTCGTGCTCATGAGCGAATAGGTATGGTTAGTGCTTCACGGGACTTTGCAATGTAGGTTTCATATTGAAAATTCTTCCCATGACTCCCCCCAGCTCCTGGTGCTTGTCAAATACTCAGTTATGGTAGCTGCAATGATTTATTCGTCATATGTTTCATTCTTTTTGTTAGTTTTGCGAATTCTTAACTGTAAAATCGCACAATCGTCAGAATTAAAATGCGTCTCTTTGTGTGTTCTGATGCATTTGTATTCTGGTGGTCGCGCTTTATGCCGTATCCGAGTTTTACCCGCTTCTCTCTTCTTCATCTCATCGAATAGATTGAACCCAAACTTCGCGGAGGCGAGGGCGTCGATGTAACCTATTGGGAAACTTTGGCACAATTTGTACGCGCTCAAATGGCCCGAACTCGATTGCGTGATATGCATCAGGAGAATCTGCGTCGCAAGTTGGAGTATTTACGGCAGTCTCAAGGTATTATAGCTGAACCGTTGTTCCCTAGTGGCTCGGAAGTAATCAGTGCCCCCCAGCCGGTCGAGCCGTTACCCACTGCACAGCCGTCTACATCCCATGATAACTCCACCGCAATGCCTCCACCGAATAAAGTTCCAGGAAGGCGATTGGATCTACCCCCAGAACCAGAGGTGAGTCTCCGTTCTGACTCATCTACAGAGTGTAAAACTTATATGATCAATAGTTCAGTTCAGTTCTGTTTTTACAACCATTAACCATGCGTTTTTGACCAATGGTGTTGTGGTTTATTCATAATATGTAGTGAACATGTGATTACAATTTTAATTCTCTGGAGAGTATCAAGTAACCAAATGAGATTATACTGTGCTGTGCTATATTACACTCTCATTGAGTATCATATTTGAAAGTTCGGAAATTTTCGACAGTTAGCAGCGGTAAACTTGACAAAATAGCTTTGACATCAAATGTTTTCCGGCAGTTCAGCCCTGATCACCACAGTTTTGTAATCAACATGTTCGGCTCTTTGAGTGCGTTGGAAACGCAATGTTGTGTTCATTAATGACAACGGACAGAAATTTGTAGAGCTAATTTGAAACCTTAATCGACAAAAGTTTGACCATAGAATATGGCACTTACATTGGTCAGCGGTGGTCAAATAGTTTAAATTAGCATCACCCCCTCCCTCCGAGGTTGCGTAGTTTAATTCCACCACCGTCACCCACTTTTTCGCATGCCAGAATAGCTCCTTGGTGGCCACTCACTCTTCCTGGAAATCGATTTAGCAGATGTTTTCTATAAGAAGAACTAAACCTTTTTTTAATAATTTATATTCTATTCCACAAAAGTACTCGGTCGTTTGTATCGTATCGTAAATTGCTAAGTTGATCTTAGCATGAACGGGACGCATGTTTACCGACAAACCGCATCAAAATCACTCCCGAGGCGGCGGTCATAGACAGTGTCACTCGTGCATCTGTTCACTTTTTTTACACAAACACACCTAGTTCATCCGCATTCTGCATCTTAATTTTGTTATTGCCCTCAGCGTGTTGTTTGGTTTTAACATTTCATCGCCCGACCAGATTTTATCATTATATTTTACGCTAATCTGATCCTATGACTCTTAAGGAATGAGAATCCGTGCGTGATTTATTTGTGCATGCAACGCTGCTAGTTTGCCCAAGCCAACCTAGGTGTTTTTCTCGGGGGTTCATACAACCGGAACTTTTGGCTAGCCCAAACATGACCTAAAATGTAGCGGTATATTGTATTCCTTTTTCGAGCCGATCTGACGGATCTTACACGACAGTTGTTCACACTGTGTTATCGCCCAATAAAGCCGGCGACTTTAACTTTCAGGGTGGCATAAATGCGGTTCATACACCTACTTGG